CACTTCGTCAAGTGCTGCATCCGGAATGCCGAGAGATATGCAGTCCCCAGATGATGAAAATGATTATGACAGACCTAGTCATCGATTGGCTTACGTTTTTGGTGATAAAAGAGATTGGGCGTACAGTAATCTGCCATGTCCCTTTGCACAGAGACTAATAAACTACAAATTAGGTTGCACATGACCTAAACGGGAAAGTAAAATCGTGAGTTCACCCGAATCAACTACTCGAAATTGGTGTGTATGGACCAAAAACGCATAGAGGATGACCCTCAAGGGCTGAAACTTAATGGGAAGCCAGAATGTATCAATAAGGAAGCAACCAGTAAAACTACACTTCAAAGCGTTTGATAATACGCCACTTCCAGATTGCACGAATTCCATTATTTCACAGTGAACCGTGCAAATGTATCGTAGAAACGCATCGCCCGGTGGTTACCAGGGGTCAACTAATTGTCTTACTCAAAGTGTAACTTACAGCATCACGCCTCAGTGGATGGACCCAAAGATCCTGTGGCCAAACCAAAGCGGTTGATGGAAAGCCTCCGTAAATCGGTTTGTCTACGGACGGACTACGTATGTCGCGCCGTTCCTTGGATTGCCGTGCTATCTCCACAAGGACACCAATATCATCACGTAGTTCAGCCGAATACATTGGATTGTGATTACGCCCATCCAGTTTATCCGGATCCCAGCAATGCGGTGGGTTGACCAGCAATCGTACACATTTTCTTGCCTGGTTGTAAGTTGCCACCTGACGAAAAAGTAACAGCAAATGTCTGCGTTTGGCATTTAGACACAAGGAAGGTGAACGTTAACGGCACGCTAACAGTGCATAAGATCAGAAACTGCTACAAAATTTCTCCGCCTCCATGGTATTTCTCTCCTAAATCACGCCAATTCTTCATGCTTTTTGTCAATCTCATAGGAGTCAAACGTCACACTCCTTGAGAATCATCATCAACTTGGTCATGACCAACATGTAGAGAGAGCACAGAATTGGAACACTTCTTGGTGCATGGGGTTTGCTCCGCAGCAGGGTCTTGAAAATATCTGAGCTAAATGAAACGGAAGCAGAGGAAGCTGGCTACTAAGAAATATCTGTTGCTGTCATCAGTCTATTTATCTGTGCAGAGTTCGGACAAGGAACACCAATATCTCACAGTTTGATTCTTTACTTCATTGTCTAAAACTGAAGACCGGCGCATTTCGATGCCAGAGTTCAGACTCAACAGGTTCTATGGGAGCAGCTGGTGTCGACCGGAAAACTATTTCTTGGTGTGAGTACTGATCACGTCAGGTGGACTGGCCTGACAGCGGCTGCTTGGCATGTTTCGCACGCCTAGTTCGCACTCACTTTACACGGTAATCGAGGTGGGTATGCCGAAGCGCTTGAAGCACACCAATAACAGCACACTAATATGAGCATTTCCGCTTGTTCAAACGTGATGATTTATGGGTTTGAGCAGTGAGCTGGTGCAGTTGTGGTCACAAGCCTGGCTCGCGTGTCAAATGTTGGGAGTTCATGCTTCTGTATGGTCAAGTGTATGCAGTGCTGACGCCAGGGGTGAATTCGAGTTCCATGCTATGGAATCCCCGGGAGAGACTGTTCAAATGAGATTGAGGCGAATGTAAAGCCACGAGTTTTGGACTCGGATTTCTGGTATAGATATATACACATGTGGAAGATTGACCACGGGCTTAACATTAAATTTGTCGCTGTTCAATCCATCCCGTTTTATGGACCACATACGTGGCTGCTGGATGTGGAAGATACTAGAAGGCCATCTGTTTGAATATTGATGCCTTCGAAAAAGTACGCTGATCTGGAGAAATATTAGAGCAGAATGGTGAGTCACGCTAGACGGATTTCGTGAAAGCTCACACTTCATGGCTAGATTGACTAGTCACGCTACATTCTAATCTGGTTAGACCATGTACTCCCTGTGCCAGGGGAGCGTTTGTCTCGTAAACCACTCCTCGTCCAGTCTTGCACAAGTTGGATACGACCCAGTAACCGTAAGGCCGTGGAATGGAATCTTCTATCCATCAGTTAAGCTCCTTCGGTAACTGCGACCACCCTAGATGCAAACTATGGGGCAACACAAATCATTTGGTAGTAACCATGACAGGTGTGCATTAGTCACGCAGCCAGTGGAGGTCTTACATCAAAACCATTACACTCAGTACGTAGCCCTCAACCACTGCCACACCAGACAAACAAAACAGTTCACTATCAATGCAGTGTTTCGGCGTCACCTCTAAAGCGCAACTATCATCATCTTATTCTATTTCTCCTGAGTGGATGAAGCATTAGCGGCTGTAATCACTGAGCGTCGATGCACGGGTTGTGGCATGAGACACCAAACTGAACTTTTCATAGGCCATTGAAATCCAGTACAACTTTCACGCCTGCTGGATTCGTCCCGTCTTTAATCTTCTTAATTAATTCCACTGGGTATCCATTGTAGCAAAGTGCATCGCATGCCGATTAGAGTTTCGTGCTTACGATACCGTCCGTGCCGCTCTTACCGATTCTTAGTGAAAAAAACTTTTATGGCATACCATCGTAAGACAGTCAAAGGTCAGTCCATATATGGTTCTGATGAGCTGACCTAAGAACCGATGTTGAAGAGCCGAGAGTGTACTTAGAATGGCAGTGACATCATGCAGATAAATTCAGTCGTTAACATGATACTTGCACAAGTGAACTCGTTCAGTGAACCCACTTTGCGTAATATAGAGGATACTGTGTGTAGATTGGGACAGATCATGCCTCAAGTTATTACATATACATTTCAGAATTTGCTGTTATTTTTGGCTTCATAGACGTTATGGAAATGGAAACTATGAAGTGGTGGTGCGGAAAAATGTGAGCCACGTTCAAAAACCCATTTTTGAGTGTTCTCTTAGATAGTCGGTGAGGTGTCCAAGTGGAGAACGTGATGAATTTTGGCTGCAATAAAATTGCTTGCAGTGGGCCAGTAGCCCAGTTGCTGAAATTCTACTAACAGAGGATCGAAACTGGGACCTACGGGTCAAGCGTTTTAGTGCACCCAGACAAGAAGTGTTGAGCCATTGGCTATGCCGAAGCTTTGTTCGGTAGAGTACAGAAATGGACATATTATGGACAAGAGAGAATGCACACTCACATGCAGGAGATTACGCTTTGCAAATGGAACGAAGAAAGTATCCTCGCTAATCAATTTGGATCCATTAGTTCCATGTTCGTGAGTGGCGGCAAGTTCAGTGAGCAGCTTGTGTAGCTCGCCAGATGCGTCCTTGTGGACAATCTGCAAGATTCTTCTGAAAAGTTCTTCGTCAACTTGACTATCATAGTCACCCTAAGAAGTGGTGTCACAGATAAAAAACGTATATTTCTGGATCAATTGCTGACGATAATGGGTATTGCTAACAACGTGGCTTTTTATAGTGTAACTCACTGCTACACCAATCTGTGATTATGCAAGCAAATCACCATAAAATGTCTCTGCACACGTATGGCAAATCAACATGCCCCTAACAGTCAGTGAGTAGCATGTGCCTATTTGTTTAGTCAAAATGGGTGGGCTAAGTTAGTTGATCAGCTGAGTGGGCTTCGAGTGGTAGAATGATATTGAGATGACATAATCTGATATCAACCAGCTGAATTGCCGAATTGAATGCGCCCAACGAATCAACCAGCCGCAGGAGATTGAGACCACGTCAGATTCACATGATACCAATCAAACTACGCGAAGACCGTTTCCAGAACTACCAGGTACTGTTTAGATGCTATATAATCACAGACAGAAGAGAAGGAATTCACCCACTCGACACTGCACTGACGATGTCACCTCGATTGGTGGTGAAACTGACAAGCTCGGCGAACAGCGCACCCGAGATACCTACGTTCTACAACATTGCCAATAATATGCAACGCAACGCGTGTGCAGTTACATGTGAACAGTAAGGCCAATAGTCGATGTATAGTACTCCAGTTAGGACATTACAGTCTCTTTTAAGTATTGATCTGTGTACATTCCGAAGTTCACCATGCAATGATAAGGAATTAGAGATATATATGAATTCAGTGGCTACGTAAACTTTGACTCACCATTTAACACCATCCGTACACCGGACGCTATGCCCATGTGACAACGTATCTGCGTGGTGGATCAATAGGGCAGCGCAAAAATTGGTGCATGTTATGCCGTCTGATTGGATGTATGTCGGCACCGTCTGATTGGCGGAATTCAATCGATATTAATGTGGGACGGAATGCGTGCTGCGAGTGACTGTCACTTGCATATCGACAACAGTGGTGCATGTTTTAACATGCATGAATGCATTCTAGACGTCTTGTTCTCTTCTGCATCCAAAGTACAACGAAAAAGACTGGATGTTTTCGTGATTGTCAGCTACAACATATGGTTTCCATTTCATTTCAATACCATCTCCGCAAAACGGTATTCTTCTGCAGTGTCTTGGGCTTGTGAATACTTCTGTGTTAAGCAGTTGCAGCCATCCTGAATATTTATTCCATCATTTAATTAACAAAGAGAAACACTTCAGCTTACTATAAACACACTCGAAAAACGACATCACTGATGACATCCAAGTGTTATGATTAAAACGCAAGCTAACGTGAATGCCCGTGTAGATTCCGTCCCCGCTTTACTACCAACATTACTCTCAGTTGGCAAGCGACTTTCAGTTTGTGACTAACCACTAGAAATCTCCTGGCACTTGCAATGTATCTTTTGGTGACTTGTGAAGGTTGGGTAATGAGCAGTCTGGCAGGCGACCATCAGACAACTGGCAACGTATCAACCAACAGAAACGTGTACGCCATGCATGAAGTGGAGTCGAGTGAAAATCCGCGAAATATGGTCTTTTCCACTTGACTACAATCCAGGTATTTTTTTATTTCGTTCTATTCAATACATAGACCGCCTGCTTTCTGAAGTCTGAGGAATAGAGTCGATCATCAGTGTGGCAGAATTTATTGTGCAAACGACCGTTTCACCCTGGTACAATAAAGTGATTTTGTGTGGTGGCTACTAATGAGTAGTTTATAAACTTCAGTGAAAAGTCTCGCAAGGTTGGTGGTCTTTGAGGTGCAGCTCTATCCTTCAAATGAGCTCACGCCAGGGAGGGACCATCAGAAATTGATCACTTTGGGTCACACCTATGAAATATGGATCCACAGCCTCTTCAAAGGAAGCAAGAATGACTCATATGTTGTACGTGGGTGGCCCGTCTATTGGATACGCCTGCACTGAGCCCGCCAGACTACACGATAAGGAGAAGACAGAGAACTCGGGACACGGCTGTGTTGTCAGGATAAAACATACAGAGCTTCTGAGTAAATATATAGGGGGACTAAACGGCCAAATGTGATCGTTCACTTGTTCGTTGTTATTGCGTGCTTCCTTTCTTGGCTCTTGTGTGGTGCCACGTGGCGCTTGCTGGAAAATTATCATGTGAGGTCGTACCCAGCTGTCGTATTCACTCCGTGTTCTATTTCTCATGTCCGCAGTCGGCTCGATAAATGATATTTTTACCCGCTGAAGTATTTATTACTGATTTCGAGAATTCAGAGTTAACTCGTCTATCCAAGTATCGTTTATTTCACACATTTTGAGTGTAATTTTATTCGACATGGCACAAAACGTGCAACAAATCTCGTGAACACTAAACGGCGTAGTTTCGTGTTCCCATCATCTTGATTGGGAGCAGTAAATTAGTAACAAATAGTGGTACTATACAACCAGGAGGAAACAATTCCTTAGTAAATAATGGGCAGAAGACGAAAGCATGTGGATATGGTGTGAAGAAAACCGTGTTCTCAAGAAAAGCGATCAAGGATAAGGTTTCTACATCTTTGAATAGAATTAAAGTGAACCCACATGAGCACCAACTCGAACTAATTGGCCATTGACTAGATTGACTCAGTGTCCTCGACGAAATAATAGCCCAGCACACAGTAACAGAAATACCATAACTGGGCGGAGAAGGTAGAAAATACCAGCATGCGTACTACTGGGACACGTTGTGGGCAATCTTTTTAAAGGTTTCCGACCCCGTGCAAAACGATCATATATGCGGCAACCAGGAAAGTGTGAATGTTCCACTGTACCTATACTGGCTCTAGCCGGTTTCATTTCACGTTGTCACTTCATGGCCTGCCCCCCCACGCTAACCTATTGTTTGGGACGGAAAACAGCGCATACGTAATATATGCCCCAACCACTTCGGCCAGATAAGTTTGGATACACTATCCACTGCTCACTTACGCACCACGTGGTTGCGTACCCGCCAACTATAAAGACACAGGTGAGCAAGAGTTTGAAGGCGCTTAGGTCCACGTATCGGAGAAGCCAATCCCCACAGCCATAAATTAATATTGCTGTTACAGTTGCGTTGTAAACACGGTCATTTAACTTCACTAAAATTCGGTTCAGATGCCATCAATTTCGAAGTCCGTCTGTTACGGTATACCCGCGGCAAAGTTAAGTTTAAAAGTCAACAAAGCCAGGTTCTCCATCTTGAAGTTGTGGAGAAACACACAACAACTGAGAGCCTTCGCAGTGAATGGTGTTCCGGCATCACTTTGGAAGTTTATTTGGTGCTTACAACTACTTCTCACCCAGTGACAGATCAACCTGCGCAGGAAGACGAACGAAGCACTGCAGACGTTGGTATTAAAAAATCGGTATTGCCATAGTTTTTGCATGTTGATTACATTCTTTTAAAATATTGAAATTGTAGTCATTAGGGTTTTTGTTTGTTTGTGGACACCTTAAGGACGGCTTGCTGGTGAATGAATTGCTAATGTACCACTTCTGCACAGTACCAAATTTCTTCAAACCACTTGGGCCAAACAGCCGTAATACTGCGTTCCGAAGTTTTCCTACAGATCAAGGGATTAATTGTCCACCAGCACTCTCTGTCATCCCTAAGGCTCACGTTTACGTAGCAGCTGAAGAATCCGTGTGAACCCACACGCCAACAGTTGTTTTCATGGTGATATCTCCCGATCTTTAAGATATGTGGTTTTCATCTGTATAATGAGTCGGACAGAGTCAGAGAATTCAGAAATTTCGTAAAGGAACCTAGCTGCTACTTAAAATTTAGGTCTAACTAAGAGACTGTGAGACTCGCTGAACTTCAGGAACTGAAAGTTCAACTGCTGACGCTGCTGCTCACAGCATTTAGAATCCCACATAGCTTTTGGTAAAGTCGGAATGTACTGGACTCGGCTGGCTCTTCCTAACATACCAACTCTTCGTGAAAGACACCGTCGGTGCTTCCAACCAGTAAGGAAACTTGGTTCTTCGTAGTAAATACTTTGCTAAATGCACACCACTATTATTCAGGAAAATCTGGATTGAGCTATTTTCGTGTCTTTTGTTTACCGTGGGACGGGAATAACAGACAGTATGACTGCACTTCGCAAGTACAAGCAGCATTGATGGGCTATCACAAACACCACTACTCATTGCGTTTCATGCGTGAATTCCACGGGTTTTTTACTGTTTTCATCCCAGAATTTTCAGTTTGGAAGGTTCGAAGGTTGAAAATTGTTGGAGTTTTAAGTAGTTCAGGCCGTAATTTTTAAAAAAAAAAGCAACACGGTTGGAGTTTTAGAGTAGTTCAGCCGTAATTTAAAAAAAAACAAGCAACACGTTTAGTTCGCATGAACGCAATTAACACACTATAGGCGACTCATGTTTCAATTCTGGCAAAATATCTGCTCGTTTTTCAAGGTCAGTCAGATCCGTTTGGTGCACTCAGTTAAATATATTCGGAAAAAGCTTTATTTGCACAAGTATATGAATGAACATATGTCATGGTTGCCTACACACGGCGTGATGACTGAAGAAAGCATTTGAATAAACCATTTGGTCCCTTGTGATCCAAAACGTGTACGTCGAACCCACTCAAGGCCTATAATCCAGTAGACAAATTTCAGTTCACATGTTGCTCGCCATCTGAATACTTATCAGCGTTTGGTGATTCCAGCGCTTTATTTGAATTTTCGAGTTTCGGGACCAGTCACACTGGCCTAAAATAACGAGATACTTTCCAGACGTTTTCAAAGATCAATAAGAGCCAAAACTTCCATAGTGATATTTCTTCGTCAGAAGCACACAACTTCTCTAAAGTTTTGCATGAACAGACTCCAGTTGTTCTTGTGCTCCTCAATGGGTTCTAGGATATTTTACCGGATTGCTTTGCTCTGGTAAGCTCAATCGGAAACATTAAGAAGCTGTTTGGGTTTGATCTCCAACGCAATATCTTATGTGTTGCACAGCGCTTCCCTTTAATTTATACGTAACCTCACTTGGTCTTACTAAAAGCTGAAAGTTTTGTGCAAACGGATCATTTTCAGGCATTTCTACCAGTTATAAACCGAGCTGAAAGCAGAATTCAGAAAAACTACCAGAAGAATGAAGAAGTTGACAGAGTTCACTGAGTAGTTAACGCCCCTACCATGCATTTGTGTCCAACCGTTCAGTCTGAATGGATGATTATTCATACTACAGTCATCTTACCAGAAGTTGCTTGGTAGAAGTCTGTTCGTCTGCCTACAATTGTGGTACAGCGCTAGAGACGGACTACGAACCCGGTTGTCACCTATCTGAATGAAGAAAAAAACACCCCTTCACTTAACCAACAAATAGTGTGCGTGATCCTGTCAGACATTCACACACCCAACGTACCCGAATTTGGCAGGAATTACAACATTTTCCATTCTTCCTCCATCAGGAAGGTCATCTTCGTGATAACAAACACTGAATGTCCGAAATCTACCGAGACTCGCAGCTCCGCTAGATGTTGACCAGACAGACAACACCCCCTCAACACACAGCGCGTCGCAGCCTCGTACCAAATCCAGACCGTGTGCGTCAGCATTGGACCAAGTTCAGACAGTGTCCCTCGAATAAAAAGCTTGAGACCGTTGTACTTTTCACACCCGTACGCACTCACGCTCTCGCACTCGCTTGTTCGGAATGCAGCGGTTGTGTTGCCTTTTGTGAGTCCTTTCCTCCGGCGGGTCAGCAGCAGATACCACAGATCGACGAATCAGCAGATATAACATCCTCATTACTACGTCCTCCATGCCTACTATCCTATGTTCAACCTGAACTGTTCCTTGGACAAAAATTTGAAGCAGATTACAATCTGACGCTAAAGAGTACACCACAAACCTTTCGGACCGAAATGGTTTTGTCCGAGAAGGCCTAATATAATCATGAGGAAAAGCTAGACGAATCGACCTGTCTGTGTTGAAAAATGAATGCATTGGAAATCCCAGACTCTTACGTACACTGTGAACAAAATGCAGCTATATGGAAAACCTTGTAGAATCTCAAGAGTTCTATCAAGACTACATTTTTGTCTCATTTGCCACCAGTCTACACAAGAACACTCCGTTTGAAATTAGGAAATCGAGAATGCGTACCGGTGGGAGCTTCGGATTCAGTCTTTTGATGTGGGGCACTCTGAAAGTCGTGGTTCGCGGATTTTGTAGTCCCGTGTTGTCTCGAAATTTTCAGGACAACAGTTTAGCGTACAATGTACAGATTAAGGTCGATCAGGAGTCTGCACTTTTGTTGAAAGATCGTCTCCCATGGCACTAATATATTAAGTTTGAATGATTGCCCATTTCAAGTCCTTTATTCAACTCGCGATGGAATGTTTGGCGATTTGGTCTGTCTCGGGCATCAGATGTGACACTGTAATCTTTCCCAAAGACTTCTTTACTTCTTGGACCCATTTTGTTCCTAGTTCCTGGTGCATAATTCGTCATTGGCCAATCTGTTGCTAGCACGTGATACTGGTCTTTTCATGCGAGATTTTGCGCATAGATTGTGCTCAGCAATTTGGATCCATCTTAGCCCGATTGTGTGTCAAAACGTGATACTTTGCGCATTTGTTTCTGATTCGCATATCACTTACAATCTCTGTCCCATTGACTAGAAGTCAAATATTCGACCACATCATTGTAGAGCTTTGAGCTTTTTCCCTCAAATCCCAACTACAGGGATATCCATACTTATTAGGCTTTCGCAAATAGCCTTTATCTTTTTTGAAGTCAGTTGATCGAAGCAACCACAAATAAAGATAGATGTCGGTTTCGGAAAGTTTGGTACAAATTGGTAGATTTGTTGCTGGACAACTTTTGGCTTTTGACGCAAAAACTTCGTCGGACCAAGTGTGTAGGTTATGAGGTTGGTCGAGATTTAAGGCGGAAGAGGAGCCAATCAGCCAAGTCAAGCTAAATGTTTGTTAGGTGTTGGTCGAAGGATTTTGTGTGGTTAGGGTGTGTGACCAAGTGGACAGGAAAAACTACATGGATTTGGGTCCAGCCTAGGGTCTGTTTCTTCCGATTGGCTTGATGTTTACTCCCACATGTCGCTTGCACTTTTCGTCCGTCACTGTGGATCAGCTTGCGCTACGATAGCTTTGTAAGATTGAGGCATTCTATGAACGTTAGTCGGGTTGGTATTCCCACCCTCAGTGTTTAGTCGGCCCGCCATACGCTCGCCAGTTCTACATCCTCGATTCTGTTCACGCTGTGATGCTTGGTAAGTTCCACCGCCTTTTCTATCAGGAGCTGTGTTGTGAATCCCAGTCCTAGTCTATTCTATGTCCCGTATTAAAGATATGTACCGCCACCGCCGAGTACTCGACAAGCGTCTGATATTCTTCCGCATTTCTTGCTGGTTGGTTTATCCTCTTTTTGTGCTCACTAATTCTGGTGGCGCAATTCCGTGGCAGCTTGTCCTATGTAAACCTTTGTGTTATCGTTGCACTTAGTTTTAGATACACAGTCCCTAGTATTTTAAACCGCGGATGGAACTTTTAATTACACCGAAACTGAGTGCAGCGTTTTCACTTCTGCAAAGCTACTCAAATGTGGCCAAGTTCCAGCAGTCTTCGATTAACGTTCACTATTCTTGCCTCGTATGGAACGACTGCTGTGCCGTCCCGTTCCTTACTGAGTCTAGATAGCGCAGCCAAAGTGCAGCGTTTTCACTTCTGCAAAGCTACTCAAATGTTGGCCAAGTTCAGCAGTCTTCGATTAACGTTCACTATTCTTGCCTCGTATGGAACGACTGCTGTGCCGTCCCGTTCCTTACTGAGTCTAGATAGCGCAGCCAATATCCTTTTTGGTTGAAGCCTAATCAGTGATGTGGTACACAACAAAACCAAGCATTTTGATTGGTTTCTAAAAGTGCAGTCAGTCTGAACAGCTCATCATATGAATGGTTGGACTTGGAAATTCACCAGGAGTAAGTTAAAAAAGACACCAAAAGGTGAACGTTTGTGGAACCTATCGTCCCAAGGTGTCTACCGAAAATGTGCCTAATAGGTTTATTTTTCCTCAGTGCTGTAATCATCTTTGAAGTGGTGACGCCCAAGTGAGTGCCTCGCAAAACTGGTAACCGCTGTCCGATAGCGCGGTGAATTCGATGGGAAACTGGCGTACCCTGAGTCGAGTTAAAAGAGAATCCCATGAAATTCTTTTACATAAGTCTGGACTAGTAAGTCGATGTTTGTTTTGGTACATCTGAGTAAAGGGAAAGTACCTGCTTCTTGTTCATATCGGGTCAAACCAACAGCCTTTTCGACTGGTCCTTCTCACTGCAAGTTCAGTGGTATGGGTGCCTCTGAAAAGTGCTGCGGCAACTTGGAGCAAGCACAATCTGTATGATCTAGATGCATCAAAATCGGCGAACCTGAGAAATACCCCCTTTTTTGTGAGCGCCGGTGATTGTTCATTGAGTGGAAAGTTTTTGGCGGATCGTGTCAAGGTAAGTTTACAGCACTTGACAATCTTTCATCTCCTTTACAATCAGCTGGGGCGTTTCACGATCACAGATTTCGTATTTGGCGCGGCTGAGGAAATCAAAGGATGTTCCGTACAAGACACGTATGATGGTGTTTTTGGAATGGCTCCAACAGGCACGCATGAAGGGGTAGAACACACGTTCCTTGATGGCCTTTTTCAGCGGAGCCTTATTGATCATCGGGAATTTGGCCTTTTTTTCCGAGAGTAAGTGGGTTCATGGCGGCTTTCTTTCTTTGTATCAGAGGCTGCGAGCTCTTTGTATATAAATTTCGCGGGTTACATAACCATACGAATGGAAGAAGAGGCATTCGGTTGAATTTTTCTTTCGCAGCCTATTCACCAGTTTTCAGCTCATAGTAATCAAACCTTGGAAGTTGAGTGCCCAACAGGTGGTATGTATTTGGCTTTACTATCGGCAAAATTACGCTCACTTTGCTTTTCACACCTCTCACTCAGCTAACTTTCGTTCTGTTTCAAACATAGTGATGATGAATTGGACTGAGTCAGCAACCTGTCAGATGAACAAGACTATTCTCACAAATGGCCAAAAGGTTTCTTGAAAATTGTTTCTACCAGCACAAATGAACCAGTCTGTCAAAGGTTTCTTGCACCCCAATAGTGTTTTTATTGACTTCCTGTGTTATACAATGCACACATGGACAAAGGTGCTCCTAAGATTTGCGGACCAGTAAGCAAACTCAAGTTGCTCACCACAGCTTAAAACGCTGCTTAAATAACGCGGATATTCGTATTTACACCATCGTCATTTGAACTGTCCTTCCACCAGGTTAGTGCGCCTATCCACAACAAATAGCGTACAGAAATTCCCCTCTCGCTGAAGTCCATCGGTAGCATGTATACCCTGATCTGAAACTCAGACAATTGATGATCCAGTTAAACATATTACCACTACTATTACCACCAATCAGGTGAACCATCCACACATAATGGAGATCACTGAGTTTTGTTACTAGAATTATTCTCAAGATCTCTTTCTATAAACCCATTCTGAGTTATCGACGATGTTAAAGTCTGATGTATTCAGTAACAACCGCTCCCAGTCTGTATGAGTTTTGTTGCCCCGCTCCTACGTTGTATCGTTTGCAAACTTTATTGAGCGGCGCACTAAGATGATTTGATGATTTTGGTATTTCAGGGCCATGGAAGGAAGAAACTACATGGTTATTGGTAAAGTTGCCAGAGAGTATATGCCGCGAGAGGCGTATCCAGTTCGAACTTTGAACGAACCAGGGCTATGCGTTTTGGTATTTCAGGGCCATGGAAGGAAGAAACTACATGGTTATTGGTAAAGTTGCCAGAGAGTATATGCCGCGAGAGGCGTATCCAGTTCGAACTTTGAACGAACCAGGCTGGGCTATGCGAGTGGATTGGTGAGAACCGTTGGTATTTTGTTCGCGAGTAGCTTTTAGTTCACAAATTCTTCTATGCACTATGGTTAAACACATCAGGATAATTCGAAAGTAGTCTTTGTTTGGAGTTCTAGCGGGAATGCCAGAGCCCATATGACTTTTCCAATTAGGGTAGGGCGATCACTCCAGATTTGGGAAATTTCGGAATGCATTTAATTTAGTGCGTTAGAGATCTCAGAGCTAATACCAGTTTTTATGGTGTATAGTGTCTTCATGAAGAGAGCGTGTTCATGCTATCCCAAAACGTACAAATCATTGGGTTCGTGTGTACTGCGTCCTCAACAAACACAATGGCGATTTCCAGTCCCAGTCAAGCGGAGGAACGGGGCATTCAGTTACCCTCTCACATTCTCCGCTACTGAATAAGGGGATGAGGCACCGGAAACAGTGAACTAAAGTGTTTAAGTGCTGTTTGGCTGTATTGATGGTCAGTTTTAGCCGGAATCTTCCAGTTAAACATCAGTATTTCTGTTAGAATGAAGTGGATACAGTGCGTTTGGAAGCTGATGACAAAAAACTACAAACTATACTTGTGCAATTTTTTCTCACAGGATGTTTTTGGGTGGAATACCCTTCAACGTTCACGGCTACAAGGCGATACTAGATACTGGATCTGTTGCTACTTACGTACCTCCGGATATTCTGGATGTTATTAACTCCGTCCTGAAGGTTACCCAACTTGACGGAGTGTTCAGTGCTGTCGACTGCAGCAAGGTTGGAAAACTACCTGCATTTGACTTCCAAGGCTCGAATGTAAAGCTGAGTATTTTCTCCTCACAGTATATTCTGCAAGTAAGTGCATGCGATTGACACCTATTTTCTCAAGGGAATCTCTGATTATCACCATTATTCAGAAAAGCCATTTCCGCTCTGAAATTATTGGTTTGTTTTTCTATGCTAAATTCGACCGTATACTGTGTGAGAGAATTAAGGTTTGTCACGTAAAAAAGTCTACTTGAAATTCACCGAGGGCAAAGCTTTTGTGGCCGGTTACAGTAGATGTAAGCTGTCTAGTAAAAACGCGATTGAATCTAGACTTGTGAAACAGAGCACCTTATACCCATCGTCATCAGTATCATCACTGTCATACAGACATGGCAGAAGAAATCCTGAGTAAAAATGGGGAAAAATACGGATGGCGTACAACTGGGCGCGAAGAAGCCCTGTGTTCATACGGGAAAGGTTCAAGAATAGGGAGTCTACACATTTGGACAGCGCTCCTAACAACACATCTGAGCATTGTGCCGACGTAATTTGCCGTGAGCGCCATGAATGACCCAGTGTCCACTGTGGCCCTCGACTGACATATGAAGGACGCATAGCTACGATCAAACTTTAGCTGAACAGTTCTAGTAGGGAATGTCAGCATGCGACCATAGTATTCAGATTTCTCCATGATTATGTTGCAACACTGTTGTCAAGTGATACTTCGTAGCATTATAAATCAAATGCTATTTTGAGAATCAAATTCGAGGTAGTTTAGAACGAGCAACGTGTGAGTGAGTTGAGGAAAGCTGATGCGCTTGTGAGTTTCTTTTGTCCCTATTTCTCAACGATATTCATTCGTTCTTTCCGCAGCAGGAAGTCGATGGCGTTCGAAAATGCTACAGCCCCTTTTTACCCCATTCAGGGAGCAAGGTTATTCTCCTGGGAGTTTCCATTTTACGCGCATTTGACCTCCTGTTCTCTGTCGATGCCCGTTACGTTGTATTTGCTCCGAAAGACTTTCAGTCATCTGCCATTCCTATGTGAAGACTGTGTGCGTGTGTGGAGGTAGTTTTTTTCTGTTTAAATGCATGTTGCTGAAAAAGTTCTCGTTGAGTTGACGTTTGAATCAATAACCCAATCTTAGACAATCTTGAATGGCACTCAAATCTGGGATGCAATTTAAAATCAACAGACATTCCCAGAGAACCCAAAGTTGAAGGCAGGGATGTGTATTAATCATAGGATAGATAGAATACAGTCCGGTTTGTAGATGAACAACATACATCGGGGAAACAGAATATTCATCACCGCGTTTCAAAGTTAAAAGTACTACTATTCCGATTGTAATTATAACAATGAAATGGGTTTCCTTGAAGATAGTTTGGTTGAGCAGCAATTGTAAGTCCCAGAGACTAACGGTTGAAAAGGTCTAGCCTTTGGGAGATGATGAACACCAGTAGCAAGTAAACGATGAAATTTGCTCAATGAGGACACTGTACGAACAACCAACAGATACAGCTTACGATGACTTTCCGCAATCCTGTGCAAAATCTTCCGTTGTTACTCACCCCGCTCAATTCCAAATTCTCATTTTCACTGTATGTGTCTCCCGAAAAACCACACTGTGGAACTGAACACGATGAAAAAGTGCGTATACTCAAAAACTGAAAAGGGCTCTGTTGTGTTGGAGCCTTAGGAAAATTTACACTGATGTAGAGCGCAATAGCATATTTTTGGTTTGATGACAACAACAAGAATGGAATTTTGTGGAATATATACTCACATACACTCGTTTGAAGAATTATCCTCCTGCCCTGGCGCAATCATCCTGGTGAGTCCACGCGAAATGGGTATGGGGTTTTTTGCTCTTATTAGAGCCTATCAGCAGTGCATATGCAATGACCGTCTCGGAGTTCGAAATCCACACATCTGACACGTGAGGCGAACGTGTTATGACCACCTCACCAGTGCACGCTGGACTCATCCAAATCTTTACGTTTGAAAATTTAATATGTCCGCACTCGAATGATGTGAGCGATACGCCCCCAGAACGATGACTTAGTAAAACTAATGGCCTATTCCTCTAGTCGGCACTTTCAAGTCGGGTAGCGCCACAGATGCTTGAAACTTGCTAGACACATTTTGTTTCAGATGTTGATGGTTGCGGGATTCTGTAGAACACTACTCACAAGGCTCTCGTTTGGAATAGTTCACGTCTATATGGGAGTCCTGCGCTGTATCAATCACTGAATGACCGAGTGAAGTGGGAGCATTCAAATATCGCATACGTGTAAGAGCAGCACTCCAGGCTAGATATGCTTAAACGATGATAAATTTGACCGAACATTACACAGGTTTGCGCTAATTATACCACCATTTTTTGTGGACGAATAATGTGGTTAAAGTATGACCATACATGGTTAATCTCACAAGACCAATATAATCCCCATTCATGGTGGTTCGCTACGTATTCCGACTAGTTAGGAAACATGTACTTCAATTATACGCTTTCAGCATTCTGACAGTGCGGTTTGTGAGCCAACCAAGAAATTGACCAATTGGGCAAAAATGCTTCTCTCTGAGTCCGTCATTTAGTCAATCAATACGCCAAGCAGCTTGACAGAATACACTTTCAGCCTCCACGTGTTAATCGTACTAATGGCCAGCTGGTCGCGGCCGGATGTCTTGGCTTGACACTAGTAGCAGAAAGATTTTGGAGTCGAACCAGCCTCAAAGTCTCAAAATGCTCTCTGCAGATGATTGCTACCAAGGATGGGGCAGCTGTAGAACACATCTCGGCTTTTTGCATGAACCGACTTCTATTTCAGGGTGAAAATTCAGATAAGTCAATGGCAGGTACAAACCTGTTTCACATTATTGATCTCGTTCATGGGTCATGTGTCAACGTGAGAGCATAAAAATTTTGCGGAATGACTGTGTGTCAAAGCGAACAGACCCAAATCTCTGGATCGTCAGCCATTCCGCAATTGACTCGGTTCCACTTGACGGAAGGTAAGGCGAAAGTGGAATTTCCAGATAAATTCCAAATAAATTGTAAGCATCCAAGGAAATCTCATACAGTTTGCATTATTTGCACCGCGTCATTCTACTTGAAGGGGCAGCATCAGCGGAACAAATAGAAATACAGTTTCCTCAGAAACAAGTGCTACTTGCTCGACTCCGGTATTGGAGCTAGAACTGGCATGTTCCTTCATAGGCTGATCTCATGCAGCTGAAACGACGACCCGTGATCCAATGCCTGTCGATACAGCAACGAATCTAAATTGAGTGGCACAATCCAAATGACTCAACATATGCAGCGATAAACATTTACCAGTTAACCAAAAGGCAGTTGCGTGGCGCTGTGTAAACACACAGGAATACGTACGGCAAGCAAGGCTGGGCTTTGGAGGCACAGTGCTTGATTTTGCAGAACCTTTGCGAGCGAAATAAGACTTTTTACGCCAAAAAGTTGCATTATGATGCATATATTCTCAGATAAAAAATCACCCAAATCTATCACCACCTTTTTGCAATTTGTTTTAATTAAACTCCTTCCGAAATTTTTGGCGCACATTCAACTTTGGACCTGCTGTGCCATGGCTTCAGAAGTGATTTCATACGCGTTTGTTGAAAAATTCCGGACTGTATCCTTCTCATACTTTATGGCATTTGAGAAGGCCTTAAATCAATATATAAAGGATATCTATGTGGTGTTTGTGCGTTCCTCCAGTAGTCGGAGTACCAACGCTGTTTTGCGTCACGAATGGGTGTACCGCAAATGCAGCAGGCGGCTTTCGAGATCAATGGAAGGTCGAGGAATCCGTAGAAGCCAGTAATCTGAGCCTGTTTTCTGACAAAAAAGAACAGCACTCGGGGCACCGGCTGTCCATTGCGGTTTCGCCTGAGGAGGCAGGGGATCTACCTCGCACTTACCTAATATTATCTTCTGTGCGATCGGTTTCTGGTTGATAGATGGCTAACCGCATGCCAGTTAGGCACCTGTAGGGCCTTGCTGAAGTATGGAACGTCGTCGTGTGAATTGCGACAGGTTATGGCCGATGAATATGGAAAGATCTGTACCACTCCGAATATACTGAACTACCCCCGAGTGTATCGACCGGCTCGGTTTAGTAGGTGCAGCATAGTCAGATTTTATGTAGCAGATGATATGCCTTCGGTCCTGGCAAGATTCTCGGGTGGCCGGACGCGTGCTTGTACTGCAGTCAGAGGATAATCACTTGAGCCTCTTATGCTTTTCCTGATGGCAGCAGGTAGCGTTGTTTCGACGCCTTCCGGATGTAGCAAATGTGAACAGAACGCACGCGACAATTGGTTTTGGGCAAGTTTTTTCAAAGCACCTATTATTCGGCCTGTAGGTACAAGCTGTATACATTCCTGAAAACGAGGGACATGGGTAGCAACGGTTATGTGTGCGTTTGTGGAGAGCGTGTCCCTGTGCGCAAACTGTTCGACTTATTCATGGAAACGTTGGGTAGCGGTACACAGTTAGCACTTCTACCATGGACAAGTTGGCGGCGCAATTGCGGGCCGCAAGGTTCGTATTCGCCTGTGACGTAATGCTGTGCCACGTTCATATCAGGAAAGCTATCGAGAAGCAAGTATGTATAGTATAACATCAAGGTATTATTGGTCATAGACACACTCCTCGACAAGTTGGCATACATTTCAACGAATGGCCCGATTGGACAATTCCGTACAGTGGGTATTTTGTTCAGTATAGTACGAACACACAGGTTCCGACAAGATCTGCAAATAATGCACCGCACAGAACCGTGATTCGTCTATTGTCTTACGGCCCATTGCTTGTATATCACCAGCAAGTGGGTTGTACGCGAACAATCCGGAATAGTTCACTTTGGTAATGTCACCAACAACCGTCGGTATCAAGCATCAGGATCAGGCATTGTGAGCGTCAGCTGGATTCGTTCAGCAGTCCACTATGACGGACTTAGGCTCGATGTGGCTAGTTGATCAACGTCGTGCTCTTCCTGGCATAGTTCGTAAACTCTAACGGGATGCTCTGCTTTTTATAAGAAAACTTTCACGATTTTTCGTCAATA